GGACATTTTAGAGTTAAATCTCTCAATACACAGTTTTATCTGTCGAGGTTTGCATAGCATTCTCAGATATTTTAACCCCACCTCAACTAGTCCTTCAGGGCAATTCATCTTTTAATTCTCTGTAAGGCTAACCCAAGCTTCTTCCCAGGAGCCTAAATTTATAACTCAGGTTTCAAAAACTTCATTCAAAGATAAAAGTGAAAAGTCCTTCTACAATCTGGCACACAAAGGACCATTACCTGTATTCATGCACCATCTCAGAAAATTATGCGCCTTCACAGGAGCGTCAACTTTCAAAGAAACTGAAGTCAAGTTGGAAAGTCATACCTCTAATGAAACCATTCGAATAACATCAGTAGGGCTCTATGTCACTTTCCATGCATATTTCATTTTCTATTATAGAAGGCAGAGATCTGTCACTTCATTATCTTAAGGACAGCATAGGAATACAAGAGCAATTGATCAACCAGTCCTTTTTAGACTGTGTTTCATGACTGCTATTACATTGTCTTGACAATGTTTGTTTTGCCTTTAGACATTTTACATTTGTTTGGTATGTGCTTTTTGTTTTAAAAGCAATTGCATGAGCATAAATACTCTGACAGCATTTCCTTTTTAAGGCCTGGTCTATGGGCTCCAATCTACACAGAGTGCTCCAGTTCCCAGGCTGCCAGAGAACGTCGCCCTGCAGCAGGACCACTGTCCTGCCACCGATTGCTTTATGAGCTTAGTCCTGGCTACAATGTGGGCATCCTGCATCCATCTCATTCCTCTATTGAAGAATCTATCTGCATATAGATATTTGTGGGATCAAAATGAAGAAATATCACCTATGGTATATGCTTTTATAACCTGAAGATCAATTTAACATTTATGTGGTATTAGACCTGTGTGAAGGACTGCACTTAACTTTTTTGGGAAGGTATGAGGGCCCGAATCCAAGGCCTCATGCATGCTAGGCACAGGCAAACTTCCTTATCCTAAGCACCATGTAACATTATTGAATATATTACTTTACTACTCTATAACTGAGAGGATAGAATTAAAGGATTAATACAGAACACAAATTTTATTCAGCTCATCTACAGCATGGTACCAATACCATAGAACAACAGCCAACATTGTAAGTTGTTCTTTTTAGCAAATAATAACTATGGTGATCAGGTCATATAAAGTGCAAATAAAGATTGTTTTGTTGGAATAGAAAAAGAAATGGTAGTTCTGAAAGCTGAATGTCCAAAAAATGTTGAATTTGCTTAATGATTTACATGTTACAGCTAAAAATTGAAAGCTGTTATGAACAAAAGTTCTTGCAGGAAAAGAGACAGTACAAATTCTCTATCTTGTCTTTTACTTCTTACTAAAATGAGGATGCATGCACGTGCACACACACACACTCACACACACACACACACACACACACACACACACACACACACACACACTCACATACCAGAACTTAAACTCAGGGCTTTGTGCTACTCAACCATGTGAGTCAGACCTCCAGTCTGGCATTTGCTGGAGATGGAGTCTGGAGGATTGTTCTGCTCATGTAGCTTTGAAGCATGACCTTCCGACCTCAGTCTCCTACATGGCTTAGGATTACAGGAGTGAGCCACTGTGACTCAACTGAGAAATAATATTTTTAATAGCTTAATATTTGTTGTGATATAACTGTCTGGTCATCATAGGACTTTGGATTTTTTTTGGAGCTTTTAAAAAAGGTACTTAACTTTTTCTTCTTTGGAAGTAGTGGAGTTTGAATTTAAGGCCTCATGCTTGCCAGGCAGGCACTCTACTATTTGAACTACACTCCAGCCCTATTTGCTTTCATTATCTTTCAAGTAAGACCTTACATTTATACCTAGGCTGGCCTGGGACCCAAGCCTTATAATTGTATGTTGTCCTCCAAGCTGGGATGTCAGGTGTAAATCAAAATACCTGTCTTTTATTGGTGGTTGAGTGAAATGGCTCACATGAACCTTTTGTCTGGACTGTCTATAAACCATGATCCTGTTGATCACTGCCTCCTTTAGCATTTCATGAGTGAGCCACTGTGTCTGACCAGCTTTTAATGTTACAATGTTGTCTTCTTTTTGTTCTCCTGTGATGAAGTCTAAGTTTCATGCTCGTATGATCCTGCCTGGCTCATAGCTGAACACTCAGAATCAAACAGGGGCTTCTTTGTAGAAAAAAATAGGGAAATTGTACCACTAATTCTTCAGTGTTTATATGGTTGGCAGCCCAAACTACACCTGAAGGACCAAAGTGTGAGCTAATGCTTTAAGGTGCTTACAATCACCTTATGAGTTATCTGGTTGCATTTACCCACAAGAGGGATGTTAGTTGTGTTCAGCTATAAATGCGTTCTGCTCTCATTTCCTTTATGGTGATTGTGTGTGATGGGCTATAATAGGTGCATAATATTGTCCTTTAGATTACAACTTAAAAAAAAAATCCATCTCCTCTAGTTAGGATGCACCTGAATGAACTCAACTTCCTTCAGATACATCTTCCTTAAAATCCTTCAGTGCCTAACGAGGGACTGCAGAGTGCTCAGAGATCTTCAGGCAAGGTTTGCTGATGCTAATCTGGTTGTAGAGACAGGAGCCAGGCAAGACATTGCTGTTCTGCAATGGAAAGAGTACCGCCTGCTGCGGTACTCTGGAAGACTCAAGGGTCATGATTACCAGAGATGGTCGAACTTCTAAGGAGAAACATAGTTTTCCTAGCAATCTCTGTTCCATCAAAGATAGTAAGCATCCCATACAGTCAACACACTATCACTTCCTAGTACCAGAGATGGTCCAACTTCTAAGGAGAAACATAGTTTTCCTAGCAATCTCTGTTCCATCAAAGATAGTAAGCATCCTGTACAGTCAACACACCATCACTTCCTAGGGGTTTAATGAAAGATATTATGTAATACAGTAACTCTTGAAATCCCTTTATGGTGTGTAAACTTGGTGTCTCTGTTTATAATGAAGTTGGTCAAATAGCTAAGGAAACAATCCCTAGACTGCCTCCCTCCACCCTTTTCCTTGACAAAAAGTGTCATATAGTTCTCAAACAACTCTAAGGATCAATAGTTCACTAAAAAAAAAAAATCTCAGAACTGACCAGAAGCTATTAAATCACAGGTATGGCTTATCACAAGGAAAATGATAGAATCAGACAAAGGTGGAGATGCAGAGCAATCTGAAACAGTAGCAATCTGGATGTGTCCACTGCCCCAGGACCACTGACCTGGTATCAGAATATGATAACTCCCATCAAGTAATGTCAACCTGTGAGTATGTGTGCAGAGTTCTATTGGGCCTCATTACATAATATGATTGGCTGCTTGCTCATATTCTATAATTCAGTCAACCCCACTCCACTACTATTGAATGGACTGAGAAGTCCACAAAGAATATCAAAGGCTTAGACATTACCAGTACCCTTGGAGCTAGTACAAAACTGGCTTCTCTATGGTAAATCTACAAGCTTATGACAGTATAGACAGATGAATATAGGATCTTATAAGGAATAGTGTTTTAAACCAGGTACCAGTGTCTCACACTTAGAATCCTAGCTGCTCAGGAGGAGGAGATCTGGAGAATCCAGATTCAAAGCCAGACAGACAGAAAAGTCTGCAAGACTCTATTTCTAAAATAACCAGCAAAAGTCCAGGCTGAAGGTATGGCTCAAGGGGTAGAGTAATAGCTGAGCAAGGAAACTGAGCAAGTATGAGGCTCTGAGCTCAAACCCCAGTACTGGCAAACAAACAAACAAACAGACAGAGAAGGATGTGGACTGGGCGTGGTGATTGTGAAGTTCTGGTTCAAGACCAGCCTAGAGTGAGAACTGTGCCCCCTCAATAAATAAATAAATTAACCAGGCAATGGTGGGTTCTCTCATTCCATCTTAATCTGTGCGTCATTTTTAGAGGTCTTTTTCCACTGCCCCCAGAAGAGATAAGTTACTAAGGAAGACTGGCCATTTTTATCAGTCTTAATACACCTAAAACTACCTTTTTATTTTTACAAATCTTAGTGAACATAATATCCATTACCACACAAATTGTACTGTAGCAGAAAATAGTATCTCTATGTTAAGGTTTAATCATTTTTTTAAAAAACAATTTTTTTATTGAGATTAAGTGATTACATAAATTTCACAGTATTGTGGGATAGTGATACTTTGTTAAAGTCACAAACACATTTTTAACCTTCACAAGGCAAATTGTCATTTTATCCAATACTTACAAACATGCACAATACAGGTCAGAGCCCAATGCAGTCCTTTAACTAAACCTGTCACAACACCCTTTTTTGCTTCATTAATGTGCACATATGTTTCTCACAGGGTGATACAATGGGATCATTTATACACTCAGGAAAAAGGCTTAATGATGTCTTCTTACCTGACAGGAGAGTTGGCAACAGAGAGAATGTACAAGGCCACGGGTCATGGACACTCTGATCCATCAATTACAGAACATTCACTTGAGCATCCCAAGGATTAACAGAGGCAGCAATTTAACATCACCTCCATAATCAAGGGCAAGGTAAAGTCTACGGTTTAAATGCTTTCAGGGTTCTTGTTAAAGAAAATAAAGATAGTTTAAACATGAGAAAGGTAGGTATCCACACTTGGACATGTCCATTATTTCACTATACTGAAGTAAATGTTTTCTGTAATTCTATTAATAGAGGTGGCAATTGAACATCACCTTCATAATGAAGGGCTTTCTGTCTTATATACTATTCCAAATGAAAATTCTATTATGTTGCTTCTACTTTCCTTTGTTCATAAAATGCATGAAGTTTCAATAAGCTTTCATCAATTATCCTATATCCTATTGTTGGTACAGCACAGAATATGGCCCTATTTCACTACCCCCAAAACACTTCCACGTACTCTACAGTCTACATAACGAACTCTTCTCTATTCAGAAAGCTATAAAATTGTGTTTCTGTCTTGTTAAGAAGAGCAAATAATCACAGTAATGTTAAAAGACTTACTTGAACTTGGCTTCTACTTCTTCAGCAGCTTTCTGATATTGCTCGGTGGTAACTTTGTAGAACTCTGAGCTCTGTGAATAAAAAAAGAGCATTTCACTATCCAAGAAGACAAAATGTGTGGAAGATCTACGATTTTCAAACAATATATACAACCTTGTTTCAGCCACTGAAATAGTGTAGAGGATCTCTTATCTAAGTGGCACATGTAGATTGTATTTACAGAATAAATGTTCATAGTAACAACTCAACGATATTTGACCCTCTCTTGAGAAAATTCTTAGCTTTGAAAGATTACTTGGCTCTACCATTGCCAGATCAAATGCTGTTTGATCACTCATTTGCTTATTAGTCTATTAATGTTCTAATTCAGACGTTTATACATTATTTCTTTTACATAATATTTTGTCTTCAAGCTGGATTCTTTGTGGAATGGAAACTAAAACAGTATCAGCATCTGTAATAATAACTTATTCAACAGAAGTGAAGGGCAGCCTTAGGTACTCCACTACCGAATCTACACCAAAATGACAAGTCGCAATGGGAAGTGATGCCTTTTCTAGGGCAGGAGAATTTAGAATTATCCATTGTGACTGGCTATTTAGAAACCACTCCTCCGGTAGGGCTAGATGAGCTCTCTCAGACTCGGTGAACTCCCCTGCAAAATATACAGCAATACAAAAGAACTCAACACTGTGATACATAGGTCTAACCCTCGCCCCCTCACTCAGGCTTCACCCGTGGGCAGGACTACAGTGGTTTATTTTGTAATAAATCATTGGCAGTTGGGGAGAAGATGAAAACGAAACCCTCTTCACACCAGCGACCCCTCTGCATTTCACAATCTGGGTTGCCCAATGACAGTCACATCCAGGTTTCTAGGATGTAGATAAAATCAATAGGTATGTGATTAGACATCAGGCTCAGGGTGGCTGGAGCCACCGACAGGTCACCATTTGAGATGATGAATGGCTTTCTATCAACCTATAGTCCCCTATGATGCTAACACTTACTATAATCTTATTTGGGCTACGATTTATCTTTCTTGCACCTGATCAATAAAGATGAACAGAACAGTTGTAAGGATCGATTGTAATTTTTTATCATTTTCAAGCACAAAGGTGCATTTCTGACACGAAGACAATATTCTAAGTGGACTGCTTCTGCATTTTTTAAAAATTGCAATTTGAGTGATCAACTGCACTAGTCTATATGTGGAGAGGTTTTAATCCATCTGTGGGTCTAAAGCTACCCAAAAGCCATTTATCTTCCCGGATACTGTAACTTTAGGTTATATCATACCTTCCTCTTACACTTGCAAGATTTTCTCTCCTTTACAATATATACTGGTCATGTTGATTTTCTTTCCCAATGTTTGGCTTAAGTTCTTCTTTTAACATTTTTAACCAGGAGGTTAACAGCAGAGGTAGTTACTAACATATCACTAACAACAAAGAGAAACTCCCAGATTGCTGTGACTGGCTGTCAATAGGCATTCTGCTATTGAATTATCTATTAACATGTGGACAAAGCAGTATCATCTGGATTACTACCTCCGCTTATTTTTAGCAGTGATGTTGTGGCATATGGACAGGACTGGGTTGAAAGACTGAGTTTCTGGTTCTGTTCTGTGACCCTGATTCACTCTTACCACCTCCCCCCAGCTTCCATCTCAGTGTTTGTAGCCCATAAAATGGGGATGGTGATCTGGCACAGCTACTGTCCACACACACTGCTACAGAGGCCAAAGAAGTCATTTTAGAGAGCTGTGAAATCTAGGTGTTTTTGCAAAGTAAGACCAACATCAAAGTAAAGTAACGTCAGAGGAAAATAGCTAATTTTGGTAATTCCACTAAGAATTCTAAGTGGTCAAATTCTAAATGATCTAAAATAAATACGATGCTTTCTCACAACAATGACCTACAGAAGCAAGAGTTCTTGTGATATCAGTCATTCCCACTCCCTCCCCCTCTCCCTTCCCCCCAGCTCAAGCCCCCATAATGTCAAATGCAGGCTGATGGTGTCAAGATTTCCCACAGGAGGTTAAACACAAGAACCCGAACATGTTTTGCCTGAAAACTCAGCATATAAAGCTTAGGCCTCACATGTTCACATCAGTGACAGTGTTTCATACTGTAGAAATCTCTCTCACAATAATGAAAATCACCAGGAAACAATATTACATAAATAGCAAGGAGATAAACAGAAATATATGAAAAACATGTAGGTAGTGTTTAATTAAAGTCTTTCTTTATTCATTCAACATCAGATCCTAATTATCAAAATAGTACATGTCTTCTCAAAAAGTTTTCCATCTAACACAATAGGAAATTAAAATAATCATAATGGAAGCCCACAAGGGTTACCTAAATTTGGAAAGATAAGATGTCTCCATTGGCTCCAAAAACCTCTAAAGAATACACATTACTCATTCAAAATCAAAACTAGAACATATCAATATATATTTACCAACTAGAGGATGAATAAATGTTGAGGGCTTATACAGTAGAGGCAAGAATGAAATAGGCATATTGTAATTTATAGACAAATTGAAAAAATGCCAAGTTGAAGATACGTGGCAGGCTGCAATTTATACCAAATTTGAAAAAGTGAACTTAGTAATACTGAGTGACATATTCCACTGATGATCTCCAAGGGACAGCAGTTAGGTGGTGGCAGAAGGGATAAGAAGGGAAAAGGGGATAAGAGTTACAGGTAAGAAGGGCCACAAAGGGAGCATGGGATTCACTCATCCTTAAAATGAGGTATGGGGAGGCACCCAGCGGTTATGCTGGCTTCAAATATTTCATAATGATGTAAAGACTGTATTCCCCCTTACCCACAAGGGGGCTAATTAACAACAAATGAAATTTTATTTGGCCAGAACAGTGTATCTGGGGAAGCAGGATATATACAGAAGAGGTTGGCCTGAGTAGAGACTTTATATTTTTTCTTGCATACTATGCCCCTACACATACATATTACACAAATGTACTTTTTTCACCTTTTTGATTGTAATTTTAGACTCACAAAAAAGAGGTTAAAAAAAAAAGAGCTTCTCACAGATCACTTAACTGTCTCCTCATCTCAACATCATACCCAAAGCACAGGTATCTAGAGAACAACCAAACAGTGCTACAGTACCAATACCTAGTAGCTGCAGTAATAGGTACAAAGTAAACTACAGGACATTTTTTCCCCACTAAGGTTCTTTTTCTCCTTTAGGATTTGACCCTGGATCCCATAAAGCAATCAGTGGCTGTGGCTCCTTAGTCTCCTCTAACCTGTGACTGTTTCTCAGCCTTTACCAGGGTTTTCCCCCATCCCCATCATGCCCTTAATTTTTGTGCCAGCATCAGGTCCAACTCAGGACTTGGGCTTCATCCCTGAGATTCTTTTGTTCAGGGTTAGCACTATACCACTTGAGCCACAGCTCCACTTCTGGCTTTTTGGTAGCTTATTAAAGATGAGCATCTCATGGACTTTCTTGCTTGAGCTGGCTTTGAACTGCAATCCTCAGATCCCAGTCTCCAAAGTAACTGGGATTACAGGCATGAGCTTCTGCTGCCTTGTCTTCCCAAGTCTTTTATGACTTTCATATCCCTGAAAGATACTGGTCAGAAACTTTTGGCAAGCCTTGTACAATGAGGGATTGTGAAGTTTTTCGTGATGAATTGGGTTCCTTCACCATTAGCAAGAATTCCACATAAGCAAGGAGCCCTTCTCAGAGCAGGCCTCCAGGGCTACTTTATGCAGCTAGATCTTTCTAGATGTTGGCTTTGATCACTTCTGCATGGTTTCTGCACATCAAAGTCACTGTTTTTCCTCCCGTAATTAATCTCTTGCAGGAGATACTTGGATACTGCATCTATCCTGTTTCTCCACAAGGCTTGTCCCTCCCTTTGTGTGTCCTTTGGTGAGTCTCTTCTGCCGCAATGATTAACTGGTGCTCTGGCGATGCACTTAGTTTTAAATGGCATCATTGCACACTTAGACCTTATTGATATAATGACAATCTTCATTTCCTTTTACTCAATAATGAAAACTACAGAGGCGCATAGGAAAAGCCTTTTAAAACAAAGGCCTTCAAAGACTGGGTAACTGTTCACAGTATGGAATGGTAGGTAAACAAGAGGGGAAGTAAGGAACTCTAGAAGGATGTATCTGAGTTTTGGAAACCAATCCCCTCCTTCTATTCTGCTGCAATATCTGGACTTTCTAGCTTCCCTGAGTGACCCTCTGTACTACTGCATACTGAAGCCCACCCATACTACTGTAAGGACCTGTCCATCAAGAGGAGGATGAGAAGACTGGCTTTGGCAAGGAGAGAAAGTGGGGAGGGGGTGGGTGATTTGTGATGCTCCCCAGGGGCTGCTGAAGCTCCAGATCCAGCTGTTTAGGAGTTGAGGAGAGAGCTTCAACTCACTTGACTGTCTTGTGAAGCCCTGGACAAAGGCCAATTCTAGGGTTACTTGTGCAGTCATTTGTAGAGTCCTGAATGGAACCAGGAAGCTGCATTTCTAACAGGGATCTCAGGTGATTCTGAACCCACATTGAGGCTGGAAAGCTACTGCTTCCTAGAACAATACACAAATAATCCACTATTTAGCTTGCCATTCAACATGAAAAACCATCAGTGTCTTTGAAGAACAATGGCAAATACCACTTTTCATAATTAAATGTAGCTATAATCTTACAGAAGTGTTCCAAATTAGCGATGCTGCCAATATTGTCTACAAATCACGGGTGAAACCCTAACTCCCCCAAGAATCTGGCTTCCCACATTGCCAAGCAACACAGCACTGTGCCTCCCCCAATAGAAAATAAGTCTAAAGTACAGTAATTTCAGAAAGGCTGCTTTCATTATGTGTGTTAGCCTGAGACAGTACTTGTTTGTACACGCTGCTGTCTTATTTATTAACCATACATGAATGCTACTTTAACATCATCATTGCAATGAAGTTTGTCATTTGATGAACCCTACAATTTGTAGTGGACATACTTTCATCGACTGTTTCTAATCATTTCACAATAACTAAATTTAGATAAATAAGGAATATCTCCTCTCTTATTTC